CACCAACCTGCCATAATAGCAAAGAACATAAACACAAACATCCAGTGCAGAAAAATGTTTCACAAGTCAACCAGGTCACAAGCATACATCACTTCCACGGGGCATGTAGTCACTGCCATAGCTCGAGTACATTCCATCAACATCACCGCCTCCAAATGAACCTGAAGGCCATATAAATTGGAAAGACATCATTTAACGACAGGATTAAAGCCTAAACATTCGTATTCACGTCTATAAAACCTAACAGAAACAAACCTCCTCCATAACCCATGCCCTGACGGCTGCCATAAAGCCCATGTGTATCCTGACTGGACATGGAACTTCTGCTGCTTCCATATCCTAGACTAGATCTTCCAAGCCTGCCAACCAAATGGAATAAAAGTAAGCTACATTAGTAAGATATCTCTCCCATGGAAAAGAATAATATGGATGCCTCCATGTCCAATGCATCAAAACAAACCTATCCCCATACGCATCCCCATATTGAGGAGCACTACCATCAAGTTCATAGTCCAAACGAGCTCTTGAATGGCGAACACCAGGGTCAGCATACCGAGGGGGAACATCATCCTAACATATTACAAGCATATCATATATCAATAGAGGATATGTCAAGTATGAGACATGAACATAATAAGATATAAAATATTTTATAGTACAAAGAAAACCAACCATGGCAGGATATGGACGTTTTGAGCCAGAAATAGAATCATAGTCACGGCCACGTCCTTCCCGGTAACTTAGAGGCCTTTCAAATCTTTGTCCGTAACCATCATCTATATAAGGTCTCCTTCCCGCTGAACGAGAAGACACTCTTGGCAGATCAGGGTAACTAGAGCCACGAGATGAATACTCATCTCTATAGGATGAGCGCCTATCAGGAACTACCCTGGAACCATAATCAACAGCTGCTCTGCTCCTTGGAGGAGGTAGCTCATCATGTCTGCTATATTCCCTTTTCAAGCTACTTTTTGGGTATGAAGGAACTGTCAAGAACGGGAATTGCATTAAAAAGTATGGCAAGCAAACTGATGTTAGAACATCCATTTAGACAATTCAGAATTTCTGCATACCAGGTGCTCCCCTTTCATATTGCCTAGGATGTGGTAAAGGCCTGCTTCTTGCTGGCATAGCCATAACAGGGCGTCTATCCCTCAATCCAATAGGTCTCTTTACACTAGAAGGCGGAACACGAATCCCAATTCCTCTCATACTGCGTGTTGGAAGACTACGTGGTGCTGGACGATTCCATGAACCCCTGACAATTCGTCCAATCCCTCGCCCAGACCGGTAATCTGCACGACTAGCATGTCTTCCTTTTCCTCTTTGAAGCGGTCGTGACAACCTGGCCCTAACTTTAGCCTATACAGATTAAAAACAAAAATTAATCAAAACGATAGAAAACTGATTTAAGTAAAAAATTCAAACCCAATCCAAATGCGTGAAAACCTTGCTATCCCCATCACCCAGTTCCGAATTGTTGATACTTTTAGCACAGGTCACTGCAGCATCATGAGACTCAAATGTGACAAATCCAAAATCCTTTCTCTTCGCTGATGGCATGTTACGAGCAAGTTCAATCTTTTCAATCTCACCATACTTCTTTAGAAGTTCCCTAACACGATCCTCATCCCATGAAGCCGGAAGACCATCAACAAACACAGTTTTGACCTTAAACCGAAACATTTAATTAGCAGGATTCTTTGGAAGGCCCAGAGTAGCAGGCTAAATAATTACACCAACTAAAAACACATAGGCAAAATATAAAAGAGTGGGATGGTCACAATCTAGAAAATAACTTGCATTAAGTACATGTACAACCGTAGGACAGTATGCAAGCAGCACATACACAATGGAAGGTCAATTAATATTATAATCAAATTTTTAGTTTAAAGAACAAGGCCTTTTTCTTGAATAAGGATAATGTATTCATTAAATACAACCACAAATAGGGTGCCAACCCATTTACAAAAGATCAAAAGAACAAGGCCTTTAAAGGACATGCCATGCCCAAGCTTCCACTCCCTTCATTAGAGAATTAAAATTCATACTCCAGATTCATGCTGCTAGAAGTCCACCAAGCACCAAAAAATGGAGAAAAAATAAAAGTGAAATGAAATACAGATGGTGTGGAAACAACCCGAAATTTAGAAGAATAACCATCCAAATAACTTACCTGTGCCAA